CTAACTGAAAGAGAGAGATTACTCCTTGTCACTGTTACAGCTTGTACAGCTTCTTAAGAAAAGAAAGAATAGCTTAGGAGACAAAAATCTTTACTTTGTTTGGTAATATATGTACTTAAGAACTACACTTGAGTATTTTAAGTTACATCTACTTCTGCATACTAATGCAGCACTATAGATTTAGAAATTAGTGAATTATGCTAAATGTGTTTGGCTTGTTAAGTGTTATCCTCTTCTGTAGTTGTTTCATACTAACACACATTATTTAAATAAATAAATAAATAAATACAGCTGCATACTTCAGGAAAAGTGACATCGTTACACAAGTCATGTGTAATACAACATTTAGACGAGAGCTGACCAACTGCAGGCTGGTGAGGTTTCTGCTGCGGGTTAAAGATACTCTCAGACTTGCCGTAGAGGTAGAGTTTGTGGGGAATATTAATGCCAACATCCATTTCAGCGTGACTGCTTGGATCAGTAGGGTGTGACTTGTGTGCTCCATGGGCCCCTCGTCTGTATTTATTAAAGAAGCAGCTTTCAAGCCTCTTTGTTTAATGCAAATCAGCTTCCGCCCAAGGGCTTTTAGTAAATCGCCTCTGCCGAACAAAGTTTAGATGCCCCTGCCTTACAGTAAAGGAGTAAAACCTCCCAGCTAAAGAGAAGTAACAATAAAATCAGTGGCAGCTTACTGTTCAGAATGATGATTAGGATTTTGGTAGGCTGTGAAGTCTCGCCGGCTTAGGCGGGTGTGAAATCTGCCCTTATCAGAGTGTGACAGGAATACGCGGAGCCCATCAGGAGGTAATCTCTGCAGGCCCTGGAAAGCTGATTAAAATGTAACTAGTCTTTGGATGCATAAACATGAGAACAATTTTTGAAGAGCTCAAACTAGGGGTGAAGTGGGTCTTAGTTTAAAAAGAAGCTCTGGGGGGTATTTTGTATTAGGGGGCAGATTTTCAGAAGAGCTGCTTCTCCACTCGTCCTCCCTCTCTCTCCCCTCCCATCTTGGATTCGGTGTGGGCAAGGGCTGCTCTCTAGGCCCTCCTAGGAACAAGCAAACCAGCGCCTCTAAAAATGATAACATTTGAAAACTAGGAGTAATTTGAGGATGAGAGAAAGCTGGGGGAGACACCTAGCAGTTCTAGCTGTGGGGAAACGCCTTCATTTCAGTGTAGTTTGCTGTTGGTTGTAGAGAATGCTGTCTCGGTAAGGCTGCTTTGAAGACCTCCGTTCTCATATACTCATGGTGGCGTTTCCCTGTTATTTCAGAAAGTCAGTCACAGAGCAAGTCGAAGGCTAGTGCTGCACCTCTGCTATCGATCACTTTTGAAATAACAGGTAGGTAAATTAAGGCCTCTTAATCAAAAGTGCACAAAGGAGGCAACGTCCCTTTTGGGGGGACTGTGTTGGCTGTATGTGTATAATTACCATGTTTATATAGCTCTGAAATAGTTTAATGGATTTGTGCATTCTCAGAAAATTCAAGATCAGTTTGAAAGTGTCAGGCCTGAACTCTAAGGAAGTTCATGAGCCAGCTAGGATGCCAGGACAGTTGCCTGCTCCCACAGCTGAACTGTTTTAGCAAGTCACTGATTTTCCTCTCAATTCTGAGAGGAATTACTTTGTTGCCTTCATCACAGCTGCTATCTCCAGTCCCCTTTGTAGATTTAAAACACTGAGCTAGGGGTCCAGTAAGAATTTGAACTTTTAATACTTAGCTGAATCTCAGAATCCCTCATGGCATTCAGGTCTGTATTGTCTGCTATCAGAATTCATAAATTTAGACTTGAGGAAGAAAAGGCAGTGTTGGGTGTAGTAATTAGGCAGCTGACAAGGTTCCAGGAGGCCACTGTCATTCTGCCATTTACTTGCCACTGACTTAAATTGTTTCATCTCTGTTCACCTATTTACTCTATTAGTCATGAAGTTTCTCTCACAGTAAGCCTATTGCGTCATCTGTTTTGAAGTACCTTTAAAACTCTTCATATGGAATGAGAATGGGAAGAAAGTTCTTTTATGAGTGTAAATTTATTAGCTGTGAAACCAGTGCAACAAATGATCAGAAGGAGGAAAATGAAGATGTGTCTGCTTATGCTGATGCAGCCACATAGAAATTCAGTCTCTTTGCCAGCCTGGTCATTACTGGGCACTGGTCTGCTGATGGTTCCTGGAGAAGGAACCTGGCGAGGTTGAGATGTCAATAAATGTAGCAAATATTTAAAAACAGAAAAGTGTTTTTTCTTTTCAGTTCTTTTTAAAATGCAGTCATTCTGAGAAGTGCTTTACAAAGGGATAAAATATATTCAGCTAAAATTTCCTAATATAGTAGATGATTTGAGAACAGGGTGATTGGACCTCATTTTAGTTTTTTAGGTCGCTACCTCAAACCTGAAATGCATTCAAAACTCAGTCTAATTTTTTAGTTAGATTGAAGGAGAAAGAGCGATTATCAAAATGCATTTACTTTTCTTTCCATTTTTGGGCCAAAATTTGGTCAAATTCTACCCAGAGCTTGTAGTATTACACACAGTCTAATCAGCATTCATCATCACTGCCAAGGAATAAAGAACAGTCTTTACTGCTGGAATATGAAAGGACAGAGATAAGACAAGGATTTAAACTGTAAATTTCTGCATCCAGCATCATCTTCTCTCAAAGCATCTTTGCTAAACAATAAGCAGCAAAAACTGAGCTCATTTATACGTTTTGATGCTGGAAGAAATCCACTTAAATTAATGGGAAAAAGATGTTCATAAGATATCCAGGCAAGGCTAAGATTTCTTATTTTGCTGTCATCTCAAAGAAAGAATTCTGAGTAATCCTGAGTAAATACACCCTGAGTCTTCAAGGATTGAAACATTTTTTAATAATCTGGAATATAACTTGTCTGTCCTACTATTGAATTCTTTTGTTTTAAAAGCAAATGATGGCAGGCATTTGTACATCACTTATGTTCTCAGAACAGTATTTCAAAAACTTTTTGGCACATTGAGAGATTTATTGATACCACTTAGCTGTCCCCAAAGCACTTCTTTCTTCCTCTTCACTCTAATGAGTGATGGAAAATGCAGATATTTTCAGCAAATGTTTTCATGATAAGTTAATTTAACCATGTTTGCTGACAAGACCTAGAATTCTTACTGGACAGATACCTCAAAAAAAGAAATCAAAATAGCATTCCTATTACTTAAGTCAGCCTCTTTAAAGCCAAACACAGTCGCAATTCCTCATATTTTACGAGTTCAGGACCATCGCAAATTTAACTTGAAGCCAAATGGATTGCAACAGTAGCACAGTAGTACCTTCTATTGACAGACTCAAAAAATATCTGAGATATGGAACGTTTGTGATATGAAAATCTGCTATCTAAAGCTTCCTGATGAAAGATTTTTGGTATTTTTCTGAGTAACTTCCCATGAACTAGTGTGATGGTAGGTGCTTTATCCTGATGGAGGCTGGAGATAAAGCAAGGCATTCTGCAGAACGCTTTCCCTCATCCCTGAAGTAAGGCTGTGTCTTGGGGGTGTAACTGACCCTTTATTTCAACTGTCTCACTTGGGCAATTCCCCAATTAAATCAAGGTTAAAGAGAGTACTGTTAGTAATTACTTACTGTTTTTCTTTTTTTTTATTAGAAACTATTCAATACAAATTCAATTACAGGCAAATTATGTTTATTTATATCAATGTTCTACACAAGATATGCATATTATGTTAATTATTGTGCATGTTAGGTGCATATGTGAAACTTATTGTAAAATTTGATGTTCTGTCATAAAATTTAATTCCAACATAGCATTATGCAAATGTTAGAATATTTGTTCTTGTATTATTTTCTGTTAAGAGATTGGTGAGTAATGTTGAATGACTATCTGCCATCTTCGTGCCTTCATTATGTGGAGCAACACAGTGTAAAACTGTGCCAAAAGAGGCAAAATGGGAAACCAGAATAGGGTGATGATTTTTCATTCCCTTTACCCTTAAAAAGTGAGAGTTGAATGCTTTTTCTGTAACTGGAAAGATCATCTACTTAGAAAGTCTGAATGGAAAGAGACACGCATATCTACAAATGAGTCTATACCTTAACAACCTGCTGTTTACTTTCACATTATATCTGTGGTTCACACTGATGTCCTCTTTCAGAAGGGTATTTTGTCATATTCCGAACTTATTTCAGAACACGTTTCATCAGAGGGCTCTTTCCATCAAAAGAGACTATTTGTAGTGGTGGCAGAAAATTAATGAGGTAACTTGCCTGTGGAAAAAATGCTGAGGGAGTAGGATGAGTGTTTTAAGTTAGGGAATTGCGTGTTTCTTCAATCAACCAAAGTGAATGAATATGGCAGACTTCACTTTGCCTTCTAGCAGATATTCTGTGCTTGGTTTAATATTTTCACAAGTCCTATATTATGAAAGATAATTAAAATCTCGCTTGTAATGAAATGGTACATTTTGTTTTAGAGTTCTGTGCCTTACTCTGGCACCTTATAGAGTTGTCCTATTATTTGTGTCATTCAAAATTGGAAAGTATGGAAGGAGCAAGGTGATTTTGGCCTCTTCCAGGGCTTATTGATACTTAAAGAACGAAAGAATCTGCTTTCACAGATGTGTTTATAGATTAATAATACTTTAATGAAAAAAATCAGTTGTCTTGTGCAGAGCTTTAATTATTTTAAATACATTATGTACATATATATTTATATTTTATGAAAACCATATATGTATCTAAAACAAAGCCTTTCTTGAACTGAAGTGGCTACTGAACAAATCATTGCTGAGTGTGCACTTGAAGGTCTTTAGAGTAAAAGAAAAAATGAAATTTTCTCATAATTTTAACTGTGTTTCAGGTTATAGCTTAGAAATAATCTTCTAAATATTAATTAATCAGGCTTTTCAAGTTATAGTTTCATTTAGGAGCAATGGATTTATAAAGATTTTTGTTCAGCTTCCTAAGTGAAGGCATACTCAGTAAGACAGCAGGACATTGATTTACACAGAGTGCAATATGGACAACTGTTGTAGTAACATAACCTATCCATTAAACAAAAGGACTAAGTCTGAGAGTGTGCTGCAATACCTACAGTCTTCCTGACTCCACGTAATCAGATTTGACTCTGTTCATGTAAAGAGTAAACTCACTTCTGTTTCATTTTTTCAAGACAGGTATTTTACTATCACTTCATCAGATTAAAATGATGATAGCAGCCTTTCTGAATGAAGGATGGTTCTGTCCACTTAGAGCTGAGGATTGTGACCAGTGAACATGTGAGAAATGTGTTGATTTTGTTTTGACAGCCTCGAGGCCGGTAGACCGTAGGCTGTGTACGGGACCTCTGCCCAGCACCTCCCAGCTGTGCCATATCCCCTGTCCTACAGAGTGTGAGACCTCAGCATGGTCAGCCTGGGGACCATGCACCTATGAAAGCTGTGAAGACCCTCAGGCTAAGAAGGGTATGTAAAAATTCAGTGAAGCCTTTTAATGGTGATCATTTCATATTCCTAAGTCACTAGGTACCTCTGGCTATGCAAGCATATTAAATTTTGTACCAAAAAGGGTATATTCAGTACCTTTAAACATCAAAAAAAGTCATTGAATTAGGACTATATTTAGCATTACTGCTTCACCAGATCTGGCAAAAATGTAGGCTGTTTACTAGCCTCTCGAGGTCAATTTGGGTTATTACAGGTCAATTCCAGTTTTAAACCTTCCTCTCAAACTGAAAGGGATACAGTCTGTATATGTGTTCAAATCACAATTCTGCCACTGTCTTGAAAAGAGGACAGAAGCAGCCTTCGAGGTGCACAGTGTCCAACTCACTCAAAGATTTCCAGTTCAGTGATAGCTTAAGAATTCACTAGTAGACTGTAAAGCGTGCTCTCGTAAAGAGTTGGGACCGTTTGCTGTTGATCAGTGACACTGTTTTACTGATGACATATGTGCTGGTTTCAATTTTCACGTTTTACAGTTTATTGCTATGCAGAACAGATTGTATAACATGAAAATAGGAAAGCAAGAATACAGTGACAAGGAACTCATGTAAGAAGTCTGCAGGTTTCTGGCTGCAAATGAGAAAAACTAGACTAGTCATTGCTGCAATGTGATTATCTGACAAAAAATGAGAATATAGACTTGGTTACTTGATGTAAAACACTCATAAGAAAGGACAGCCACATATGTCCACTTGAAGGAGCAACAGTAATTACCACATTAGCTTAGCTGCTTCTTTCTGGTACGCTGCTAGCTACCCTTCGGTACAGGCAGCAACAATGCAAGTTTTACAATGCTATCTCACAGTTATGTGACCCACCCCTGATCAGTTCAAGAAGGAAAAAGCAGTTCAGTGTATCAACCCATTGGATTGAGTCTCCTCTGAGTACAATGGCCAGGTAACCTGTTATTTCTATTGCCGTTCCATCACTGAAAGATTTGCTATGTTTTCAGGGGTAATGTTTAGGTTTGCGAGAGTAGTTTGGACACCTGCCTAGTGGAAATGTATTAGTATTTACTTTATTCCTGCAGACATGAGCAAGGATCGTTTCTCAGCTGCCAATGTTTTCCTCTTATCTGGAAATTCTTATCTTTTATTTTATAATTGCATTGACAGTTTTTCTGAGGAAATGATGTAAAAGTTGTACAGGCCCTCCCAGTTTTAGCAGCGAGTCTCTCTACATGTTTCAGGAATGGGCCTTTACTGTGGATCAGTTGCCTCCCTTATTGCAGTAGATACTGGAGTCGGTTTTTTGGGTTTTGGGTTTTTTTTGAATTATATCAGCCTTTTGTGGCAGGCTCAGTTAAAACATTTGGACATAATTTGGCTGACCTCTTCAATTTATAAAAAAACAAAGATACATTGAAGTGTATTTTTAAAGTAATATTTATTATAGTTTAGTTAAGGGATATCTTCAAACAAAGAATCACTTCTTGCACATGTCTATTTGAACATGGCATTCTGAAAGTGAGAGAGAGGGTTGCTCTTTGAGACTGACATTAACCTGGCAGATGATACACGGTATAAAGGCCCATCAGTTTCTCTGATCCAAAATGAGCTTAGATAGTCTTAAGGAAATTTCTAAATGCTTGCAAGGGAATATTGTGATGTTAGTAACTGAAAAATTGTTCATAGGACTTCTCGGGTTTAGTTCTGTGCCTTGCCTTTTCTGATAATGTAGGTTGGTTTGTTGTTTGTTTGGGGTTTTTTTGGGGGAGATCATGTGTTTATAAGCTGATTTCACTTGGTAATCCATCCCCATTGGGAGATATCTGAGAAAAAAACCAAACATATTTGAGAAATGTCAACCCAGTAATCTAGGCAAGATTTGTTAGATGAGATGGATCTGGCAAGTGTGATGTGCAGGAAATGACTCCTGCCTCCCTCCTGGAATATGTATGACTAGGATAAACAGGGCTTTAAGGCAAAGGTTACTGAATAAGCTCAAAACTTGTGATTGTCTTGTTAAGTTTTACCTGTCTTCCTTCTTTAATAAGTTATTCTCACCGGTTCTCTAAAATGCAGTGTCGTGCTGGGTATCTGTGGTAGCTTTTACACAGGAGAGAAACAAAACCCTTCACTCAGGTGTAGACAGATAAAAATCTATTCACTTTGAATTTTAGAATTGAATTATTCTGCCGTTTGTATATTCATGGACATTTCAGGCTTTAAACTAAGGAAACGACGCATCACCAATGAGCCTACGGGAGGAATGGGAAACTGCCCTCACCTGCTGGAAGCCATCCCGTGTGAAGAGCCCTCCTGCTATGACTGGAGAATTGTGGGGTTGGAGGAGTGCATTCCTGACAATGAGAAACCGTGTGGCCCTGGTACGCAGGTTCCTGTTGTCGTCTGCATCAACAGTGATGGTAAGATGCTTTTTCCCATGGTCCACACTGACTAGAGTGAAGACGCTAAAATGTAGTCCAAATGTGTAGCAGTTTTTTGCTGGTCTCAGCTTTCTCAGTCGTTAAGACCAAGCTGTCTGGAATAAAGAGAAATGTCCTTTAGTATTGGTTAGAAAGGATAGGCCCTCTAGTTACTCTAGGATCAAGCTCCTTCACCTACACGCAGTAGATTTTCAAAGGTTCTCAAAGAGACTTTGATAAAAGTAATTAGAAAACAGCTATTGTTTTTCAGTAGGTCAGACTCATGCCTGCAATGATTTGACTGAATTCCCTGATGTAATCCCACTAACAAAGCTGATCCTCTGAGTCCAGAACCAAATAAAGTGTGAGTAAAGTAAGATGCATTGCAGTAAGTATAGCTGGAAGAAAAATAATAATGTGTTTATTAAAAAGCATGGTTTGATGTGTGTTATGGAGTTGATTTGTCAGACCAAGCTGTCTTACTTCTTCAAAAGGTCAAAAAAAAGACCACCATTATTTAATTATCCTCTATGAGAGAAAACAGATTTTGCACGAATAGTCACAAAAGCCAATTTTGAAAGCTGCTTACAAAATACTTTAATCTACAGAAGACTCATGAATTACTATTGTGAGAGTATTCCGTATTCATTAGTAATATTATAGTCTAGACCAGCATATGAATTAAAATAATTGTACTGACTACAGTGTAGTTAAAGTAACAGACTTCTAACTCCCTGTAGAAGATTAAGTAAGAGGACACCTCTGATGAGTGTTTAACAGCTGCACAAAATATTTTGTAATTAAAGTGGTCAAAAGTAATAAGAAGTGATTACAGAGAGATTTAAATCTTGAGCTTTCATGCTCAAGAATTTGGGTCATAACTGAGTTTGGGGACTTAAATTGAAAATCTTAGAGTGTAAGCTTTATTTTTCTGCATACACATAAGAGAACCAGTAACCATTTTTAGAGCTCGGAAGTAGATTAGCCTATAATTACAATATTGAATCTACTACATTTTATGTCCCTTTCTCAAAAAATTTCTCTTCACAGTGCAATAATTTCATGGCAACAATACTGAAACTGTTTGAAATTTTGTTTGTATACATTTTCAGATGAAAACCGGCCTTTTCCTCATAAATGAAAGTGTTTCCTATATAATTCTGAATTTTTCTCTTTTCCTTTAATAGCAAAAAAAATGTGTAAAACAAAAAGAAAGTGGATTTTTTTGCTTTATTAGGTTTTGAATAGTTTGGTTTACCTTTGATTTTGAGGAGTGGTATTTGTTCACATGTCTAACTTCTGATTAGCCTAATTTATTACTAAATTGCAATATAGACATTTTTATTTACTATAATTTATTGTAACCATAATACATTTGGAGCATGCAGTTGAGCTTCTAAACTTTGAAATATGTTTTACATATATGATATTAGTATTGCTCTGTTTCAAACTCACAGGATTTGCTCTCTGCACTGCATGGGCTCTGGGTTTGGCCAAATTTGACTTGGAAGACTTGTGATTAACTTTTTTACTCCCTGTATTAATCTTTGTCTTTCTGTCTTTCTGAATTACATGGCATTATGTATTGCTGTAATTATATGGCATTATACATTGCCTATACTGGCAATCTGTCACAGAAGGAGCAAGAAGTCGGACTTTGTCCATATGACTGTCAGTCTTTAAGATTAAAGAGTTGTGGGCACAGCTTCAAAGAAAGGAGAAAAGAAATTGCAATTATGGTTTGTTTTTCAAAGATCCAATCACCCACAAAGATATGTGTTCAGTGTCTTTTGACCAAGTGTAAAAGCAATGGAGAGTACTGTGGTGGATTGCCTCAGCTCTTCCTTGATATCCTCTCCTTCTCGTAGTAAATGATCTTCTGTGATCTTCACCAGTAATGCCAAGTGGCTTTTGCTTAGGTCTCTCCTGAGAAAGATTAGCATGATACAGTAGAAGCAAACAAATTGTGAAGTAAGGGTGCACCAAGCTCAGTAGTCTCTCCCTCCAATAAAACTCTGCTGAAGCATCTCCTTTGCCTCCCACAGCACCAACCCACTGCAAATCCTGTAGGCAATTCTTAAATGCTTGTGGTGGGTTGACCCTGGCTGA